TCAAATTTTTAAAAAAAAAAATTGGGCCCCACTCGTCACCTAAAAAGCAAAGAGTGTAGGTCCCACACACAAGACAAGCTTTGGATTCCTTCTTTCGGGTGCAAAAATTCGATTTCAATCAAATTCAAAAAACTTAAATCGAGGTATTTCGATTTTGTTTATATCGAAACTCGTATAGTACATGCATATTTGTATTGTTTAATGTGTTTCCATGTTAATTTGTGTTTTGTTTGTATTTAAATTTGTATCTTATTTATACCCGGATTGATTTATTAGCTTTGGGACAGAAAAATATTAAAATTTGATAAATAATTTGTATTGTTAATGTTATGTTTTTATTTGGTTAAATAATAAATATTATTTATTTAGTTTGTTGTTCATATTTGTATGTTATGTTTGTTGTTTTTATATGTAATAGTGACCTTTTAGCTTAGTAAAATAAAGAGCCTTTTAGTGTAGTGAAATATAGAGCCTTTTAGATTAGTAAAATATAGAGCCTTTTAGCGTAGAGTGCAAAATATAGAGCCTTTTAGCTTCGTAAAATATAGAGCCTTAAGTATGTAGTAACTGCAAACTCTATCCACTGCAAACTCTATCCAATAACACTTTATAAAATTAATTATTTAATTTATAAAAATAAACTTGCAAAAGTAACAAATTAATATATGTTGTCAAATAACTCAAATATCGAGCCCGGAACTCATAGATAATTACTCAGTCCAATTCAATAATTAATTATTTAATTTATTAAATTAACAAAATTGTAAAAATGCTGAAATTGACACGCATAATAATTAAGGATAAGTTGGTGCTACCGGGGGTCAATTATCGAGCCTGGGAACCCATACATAATTATTCAGTCCAATTCAATAATTTTTAATTTAATTCTTTAATCTAACAAAATTCCATCGGTAACTGAAATTCACACGCATAATAATTAAGGATAACTTGGTGCGACCGGGCTTCAAATATCGAGCCTGGAAGGCCATACATAATTATTAAATCCAATTCAAGAATTTTTAATTTAATTTATTGAACAAACAAATTTCTAAAAAATGTTGAAAATGACACACATAATAATTAAGGATAGCTTGGTGCTACCGGGCCCCAAATATCGAGCCTCGAACCCATAGATAATTACTCAGTCCAATATTAAAAATAATTATTTAATTTATTAAACTAACACACACAATTAATTTTGTTTAAATTATAGTAGACGACATGGCTTTCCTCCGCCTGCGCATCCTGGACCTGCCGAGGATCAGCTATTAGTGTTGCAGGGCGACCATAGGTCCTCCTATGTATGGGAGGGACAGCTATCGGAGCAGGCTCTCCGCCCTAGGAGACCCGACGATTTGTGGGAGTTCATCGTGGAGCATCCTTTCCATGCCCGCATAGTCGCGCGCCTACAAGCTACAGGCTTCTATACGATTTTTGAGCTTGGACGGATGCAGCTTGATTGGTCTCTTATCACGGCCTTGGTAGAGCGGAGGCGACCGGAGACAAACACTTTTCACTTGCCCACTGGAGAGGCCACCATCACGCTGGAGGATGTTCAGGTTTTGTACGGGCTGCGCGTAGATGGACGGGTCGTGGCACTGCCCCAGTACATTAGATCCATGACGCGTGCACAATTTTTGGATATGATGAGCCAGTTTACTGGTTATAGACCTCAGGGTGGTGCTGAAGGCAGTCGCGTTCTTTTGTCAGCCATCAGAGATCATATGGCGTTTTTGCACCCAGACATTACCGGCGAGACGGAGGATCTCCACATTGAGAGGTGCACGCGGTTGGCGTTGCTCCTGCTTTTCGGGTGTGTCTTGTTCCCGAACACTTCGGGGAGTACTGTGAGTATGCGCTTTCTCCATCCTCTTCAGCGGCTGGATGATTTACCCCAGTACAGCTGGGGTGCTGCTGTTCTCGCATACCTGTATAGGAGCATGTGCCGGGCGAGCATGGGCCCAGCGATGGACATATGTGGTTTTCTGCCCCTCCTACAGGTGATAACATTTTCGAATACTCTGTTCATTACTCCGAATTCTATATGGTCGAAATGACTCATAAATTTTACATCAACCTTTTATCTTAGGTTTGGGCCTGGCAGCGGATCATGCCGTTGCAGCCACCTCTACCACCACTTGCGCCCGGTGAGGCTTATCCGTTTCTCCCTCTAGCTTCTAGGTGGATTCTCCGGCGTGGGAACTACCAAGGGAGCAATGCTCATCATAATCTCCCCCTTGTCAGGGATGTGTTAGATATGCTGGTGGACGGACAAGTAAATATGTACCTACACTTGCTTGTTTTAAATTGAGTTGTGTTGCGCATACTCACATTTATGTTATTATTTGGTAGTTCATCTGGACGCCATACAGCGACGAGTTGCTAGCTCAGTTGCCCGATATTTGCTCAGTCGACCGACTGCTTTGGAGCACCTCCGTCCCGATGATCTTCTTCGATATGGTTGAGTATCATGCCACAGAGCGTGTGCTTCGCCAGTTTCACCGTCCCCAGCCTATACCGGGGGAGCCTGGATGGGTGGCTACACACTATCAACGGGACGATATATATATGGGATGGCTAGAGCAGCAGGTCCATACTTGGGAGCAGCGAGGTCACCGTATTCCGCCACAGCCTACATTTACCCAGGAGGCCACTATTTATCTGTATACGTCATGGTACCGCCGTCACACCCGACTGATGATCGGGAACCCCATTCATATACTTGGCGATCGCTACAGACCATACGCCGGGAGGCACTGGTATGTTTTTGTGGCTTATTAATATCTTATAATTGTGATATAGCGTTATTTAATTAATATTTTAAATGTTTCACAGGCTATTGGGCATCATCACCTCTACCAGTTGGGACAGGAGATGCAGCAGCATGCCGACAATCCTGCACTCGTTGACTATGGCCGGCGGGTGGCACGGGTGGCTCGTCGGACCCTGTTTCAGGCGAGAGATGCCGCGAGGTTGGACCACGAGGCTCAGTATGCGGCGCCAGAGGACTACCATCAGGGTAGGGGTGTCCCACGAGGCAGGGGTAGGGCGCGAGGGAGGGGTGCCCCACGAGGCAGGGGTGCCCCACGGGGTCGCGGGGGTCGTGGGGGACGGCAAGGAGGTGGTCCCCAGCAAGGGGGCTATGAGGCACTTGTTGGCCCACCTGTTGAGGGACATGATGGGGATTTTGGAGATGAGGCTCTTGGAGATGATCAGCCGGGTTATGGACCTCAGGTTGATGAGCCATCTAGCAGCATACCGTCGTACAGTCTTCAGCTATCTCTGCCAGCATCGCAGGTCACCCCGTCAGGAGCATTGTCGATCACGAGTACATTCGACGGGGATGTAGACCAGTACTTTGCATGCCCATATCCGCAACTGAGGATCGGCCCACCCGGGACGTGGATGGCGGGCGCAGGTTGAGTTATGCCTCATCCCCGGCGGTTGATGCGGATCTACCACAGGCGCAAGTATGTTTGTATTACTTTAAAATTTCAATTTGTTTTCTTTTCCTTAATGAGCTGACATTAATTAATTTTTAACTTTCTTATGAAGGTTTCGTCCCAGCCCATCTTCGAGGCCACTACATGCTTTGATGAGGACACCACGGATGCATATACTCAGGCGGCGGACGAGACCACGGTGAGAAAATATTTTTTGACTCAACACGTACAATACAAATATACTTTTTCACATGCTAAGATTACTACTTGTTTTGTAGGTTGCTGACGGCCCGACGGCCTATTCTTCCGATCCTGCCAGCTGTGGTGTCGATGGTGCTGCACATCCTCACATAAAGAGGCGGCTTGATGACGATGATCCAGATAGTGTACCCGGGCGACAGGGGATGCGACTTAGGCCGGCAGCAGCGCTGAAGCACACAGGCTGCGGGACTCACTGATTTACTTATGTTTTTACTTTGTGTAAATAGTGCATTATGTAAATAATGGTAACAATTATCTTTTAACAACAATTTTATTTTAATTGCGTTTGAACAGCAATTTTACTTAAACAGTACAACAAAACACAAACCTAGCAAACCTAACACAAAAACAAACAGTAGAACTAAAAGGAAACATAAAGAAAGCAGCTTTTTTCACATGGATTTCATCTTTTTCAGAACGACAAGACAACTCCAAAAAACGTAGTACTATACTGCGAATTAATTATTAAATTTTTACCGTCTAA